TCAGCCACAGAACCCCTCTCCGTCTCCTTCCCACCAGCAACCACGTCAATTCCAGTTCACATGACTATCATGTGGAAGGGGAATCAGGCACACTCTTTGGGCTAGACCGGAAGGCAGAGTGAGGAGCTCAGAGCACTGATGGCAATCACAAGACACAGCTCCCGGCCCAGGAAGGGTCGGGCATCACGAGGGAGGTGGCACAGCTCGAGATACAGGAGGACATCCTGCGGATGGATCCCTGTAGCCCAAGGCTCAGTACTTCACAGCAGACCCAGGGTGGCCAATTGGTTAAGGCCTGGGAGTCAGCTAGTCCTGAATCTAAACCTTTTATGTGCTGTGTGACCTAGAGAAAGTAACTCTACTTCTCTGAGCCCGTTTCCTCTTCTGAAAAACGAGGATAAGAGGACCCAGCTTGTATGAGTGGTGTGCATATTAAATAAGATAATACATATGCAATCCTTATCGATGTATTATACAGTAAGTATATGTATTTTATATATACAAATTATCTGGACATCTTTTTGGGGGCCTTTGGTTTGCCTACCACAGTTGGTTATATTTTACTTGGCTAGATATGTGTATCCAAGTGTATGTACATACTGGCCCAGCGCTCGTACCACAGTAAACACTCGATACTCAAGTGCTATTATCAATATTGCAGTATCAATAATTATTAACACAGTCCAAAGTACTGAAAACTCACATCTTCCTGTTCAAACAAAAATGCTGTAGCACATAAAGGCCCTACAAGAGTGGATCGCTTAAGAAACAGAATTTAACCATTAAAGATGCTATTTAGGAACATGGTAGAACAGTGTGCAAACTGTTCACTGGTTAAGAAAACCCCACTGAGGACAAGTGTTTAAGAAAAACATTCCTCTGAATAAAGGCTGAAAGGAAATGTGGGAAGATAAACCAGCTATGGTGCTGATGTGGACTTAGTATTATCAATTTGGAAAGTTTCCCTTCAATGGTGATAAAATGTTGTTTTAAACAATAATGCAATTCAGTTTTAAAGAGATAAACTATAAAACCTTCAGGGTAAAATTAGCAGTGTATCCTCCCCATCCGCAACTGATGCCCCCTGAGCAGTGCAGGGCAAGGCCAGACTGTGCTGCGGGCTCTGGGAGAGAACCACAGCTATGGGTATTTAATGACAACAGCAATAGCTACAGTTTATTGATTTACTATGTGCCAGAGATAGTGCAAGTGTTCCTCAAGCATTATTTCACTTAATCTTCAGAAAACCCTATGTAATAGGTATCAATATCGCCTTCATATTGCAGATGATGAAAGTGTGGCTCAGAAAGGTTAAGTCACCTGCCTAAAGTCACATAGACAATGGGCAAGAGAGCTAGATCTGCATCCAGAACTATGGATCTGTGAAGCCTATGCCTCAGATCATTATGCTACAAGGTATTGTATTATCAGCTAATGAATTCGTGTACCCTTTCCTCTCCTAAAACGCCCTTCCTCCTGTCTACCCAGCAAACTCACTTTTCCTTCAAGATTCCAGATCAAGTATTTGCTCCTCTGCAAAGCTTTCATAACTACTGTCCCTGCTCAGGCAGGTTTATCATTTTCTCCTATGAAGGGCTTCAATGCCTTATACAGTCTTATACCGCAGCATCTCCCCCGCTGGGCTCTGGAAGCCATGTGAGCACAGGCACTGGGGCCCACTCACCTCCATAGTGCTTAGTGCCCAGCTAAGTGCCTGGCCAGAGTAGGCACCCCAAAACATACACCTGTTAAGTGAATTAATTGGGAAGCCATTTCTAATACAGCTTCTTTCTATCCCCTACCACATCGAGCACATAGTAAGTGTTTAATAAATATTTTGTGAATAACCAAATGAAAGGATAGATGGACGGACAGACAGGTAGATGGATGGATGGAAGGGAAAACGGTAAGGACTCAAGAAAACCAGCACTCACCTGAATGCCCCAGGTCTGCAGCTGTTCTTCTGCAGCCCCCAGATCGAAGGAAATGGGGGCACAGGTATTGTCAATCCGGAGAACCGTGAGGACCTGGCCATTGCGGAGCTCTGAAAGCAGACCAGAAGCTTCGTCTGACTGAGCAATAACTATTCTGGATGAGCCCAGTCCCTGAAGGCGTCACTGCCTCTGGCCACAAGAACCTTCTCAAGGCAAGTAGGGACAGGGTAGCTGTCCTCAAATCCCTACAGGAAAAAAACTGGACTTGACAAGAAAGCCCCCAGGAGGCAGAACTGAGGCCAGTGCATGGAAGCCAGTAGGCTACAATGCAAGACCATCTAAGGAAGACTGCTACAGCCATGCCACCTTGAACAAACCTGATCCCATCTGATCTTGGAAGCTAAGCACAGCCGAGCCTGGTTAGTACTTGGATGGGAGACCACCTAGGAAGACTAGGTGCTGTAGGCATAAAAAATAAAAAATAAGGGATTGTAAGCTGACAAGGAAGACTTACCCAAAGTGAGAGCTGTCCACATACAGAATGGGAGGTGGTAAGCTCCCCATCACAGGGATATTTAAACAGAGACTGAACAACTAACTACATTGGGGAGATAATGTAGCAACATTTATTATTAGAGGACTGGTTAACTAAGTAACTCTTGCATTCCCTCAGTGGGCTCAGAGTCTAAGCAAGAGATAACCCACTGTGGTAAGCAGAACAATGGATCCCCGAAGATGCCCCTGCTCTACTCCCCAGAACCTGTGAATATGTTGCCGTAGATGGCAAAGGAGAATTAAGGTTGCAGATGGAATTAAGGTTGCTAATCAGCTGGCTGTACATAGAGAGATGATCCTGGATTATCCGGGAGGGCCCAGTGTAATCACAAGGATCCTTAAAGTGGGAGAGGGAAGTAGCAGAAGCCTCAGGAGGGATGTGACAGTGAGAGAAACGCACAGAGAGGCAGATCATTGCTGGCTCTGAAGATGGAGGAAGGGCTCATGAGCCAAGGAATGTGGGAGGCCTTTAGAAGGTGGAAAAGGAAACAGATTCTTCCGAGCCTCCTGAAGGAATGCAGCCCTGCTGATGCCGAGATGATTTTCACTCAGTGAGGCCAGTGTCAGACTCGTAACCTACAGAACTATGAGAGGGTAAATTTGTGTTTTGCAAACCACTGTGTCAGTGGTAATTCGTTACGGCAACCATAGAAAACTCATGTACTGACTTACCGGTCACCCCTCGCAGTGTGCCTGCAACTCACTCAACATCTTAAAAGCATAAACTGAGTTAAGTGTTACCTCAAAAAACACACCACATCAACCCAGGCTAGTTACAACAGCTCTCAACTCTTTCACCCATTGCTGCGATTAAGTCAGACTGTGAGACTGAGGCCAGCTGGACTGAAAGCTCTGGGCTGAAATTCCCCCTGGCCTGGGGAGGAATGACAGCAGAAGGAAGCCAAACCTTCCTTCAGTTCTGAGTAGAGAGACTACAGACAAAAGCATAAGCTAGCTAATCTGGGGTTCAAACTATAACTCCGCCTCTCACTAACAGAATAACCTTGAAGAAGCCATCTAAATCCCTGGCCAGCCACTGAGAGGATGGCCATATCCACTGCAAAGGCCTTTGCAAATAATTAAGATGATGAAAATAAAGCACTTGGCACAAAATGGGTGCAGAATAACCAGCCACTATTGTTGTCATAACTTAAAAGCAAGCATGTCAGAATTCGCAAGTAATAATAAAGCAAGACTGATGTGTTTATCTTTGTTTTTACCCTCCCACAGTGTTCCCAAAAGGATCTAAGATGGCCTCATAAAAGTATGAAAAAATAAAATTACAAACTTAGACTTGAAAATAATAAGCAAATGAAGAAAACGAGACAAAAAGAAAAGCAGAAATAGACGAAAATAAGAATAACCTCCAGGAATTGAGCCCTTACTATATACAACCAGGCAAGGGGCTTAGCCTTCAAGTGGTGGTTTCATTGAATCCTCCAAGAGCCCTAAGAGGTGGATACCATTATCATAGAAAAAGAAACAAGCCTCTGAAAGGCCAACGAACTTGCCCGATGTTACCAGGGAAATGAAAGTGAAGAAGAGAAGAAGCGAGGAGAAAAGGCAGTGCTCAAAATGCAGGCAGTCATGCTGGATGCGGCTCAGACTAGCGCACCATCTCGGAGCACCGAATGGAAAGCCCACGTAGGTTTGAACTCCAGACAGGGAGAATGTGACCCGCCCCCAAGCCAAGCTGGCTCTTTACACACTGAGCAAAGTGTTTGCCTGAGCAATGCAGACTCCCCACGGTGCCTTTGTTTGCTTTCTAAATCATGAGTTCCTGGATTCTTGGCAATAATGTCTCTAATCTGTTCCTTAAAGTGAGAACAGCAAGTCCTCCGCTTAGAAATACTTGTTTTTACACCTAGATAGGGAAAAAGATCTGAAAAGCTACCAAAAAAGAACGTGTGCATGCATCCGCATGGGGAGAGCAATTTACCACAAAATAATGAGAACTGGCCTGCCAAAAATCAATAGAGCAATGTCTTCAAAGTTCTGAAGGAAAATTGTTTCATTCCATTTCACTATACTGGTGTGTGTGTGTGTATTGCTTTCCTAGTAATTTAAAAAAAAAAAAAAGGCAAGAAAAAAAAAACTTTTTAATTAAGTAGTTGAGTTTCAAATCATCTAAGTAACCACCCACATTTCTGAGAATCCCACAATCAGGA